CCCCCCCCCCCCCCCGACTTACCAACTGGATGCTGCTTTTCAAGCTGTCCAGCTGTTCTCCTGTAAATCAGCTATTGGATTGGTATCAGCCGATATGGCTGGCTAATAATCAGCTACTGCTATTGGCCAAGAAAATCTTTATCGGTGTACCCCTATCTATAACCAGAGTTTGTAAACTGAGAATGGTGCTAGATCCATCCCTATGTACTGTTAATCACATAGCAGCAGTTGCCAAGTTGGTTTTGTCTAGGTATGGGATTACAGTTTTTTTTTTTTTGAATCCAGACTCTGGTACTGTTGTCCATGCATGTTGTACATCAGAATTAACTACTGCACTGTGCATAAGGATACACCTAAAAGTGAATGAATTTGTTTTGGAAGAATGCAGTGTCTCGTTTAAGTGAAGTTTTAAGCCACGACTATGTGACACCACTGATACAGTTTCATAGTTTCTAGGGTCAGAAGGGACCTGAGCAGATCATCTAGTCAGACCCCCTGCCATGGCAGGAAATAGTACTGGGGTCAAACGACCCCAGCAAGGTGTTAATCTATGATCTGCCTCTTGGTTTTGATGTGGAGTTTAAGGTGGCATTTCTGACCTATAAAGTCTTATGCGAAACGCATCTTGCTTATTTGAAAGATTATTGCTTTTTCTGCGACATACTGCCTTGGATGAGATTAACTGAGGAGTTTGAGCCAGAGTTGCTTTGATTAGAAAAAATAAATGAGTTAATAGCAGAGTGGACTCCGTAAGGACTTGCTTCTTTTTCATTTTTCTACTTAATCTGCAGTAATCCAAACTTGCTGATGTTTTAGGGCATGCTTTAAGGCTTTCATTCAGACTTTTGAAAGGATGGGGTCACATAAAATGATTGTGAGGAATAAAGGTATAATTTTGGGTTTTGCTTTATCTGCGTTTTCTCCAGGTGACATATTGCCCCTGTGAAAAATTAGACATGAGACCCGAGTGCTTTTTTAAATACATTTTTCATAAATGAAAAACAAATGAACTTAGATTTTTTTTTAAAATCAAATACCATAAGAGGAGTAATAAACCTGTTATGTTTCTTTTTAAGTGCCAGCTCATCAAAAAAAGAGGGAAAATACGCTGTTTGATATCCATAGATCTCCTGCAAGAAGAAGCCATATCAGGTAAATGTTACAATTTTTTTTATAAGCAGAAGACATTTTATCCCGCATCACATTTATATTGTGAAATAAAAATAAAACCATTCTTGAACATATGTCAGAGTTCTACATGCACTTTGGTATCAGGAATGTTTCAGGTATTTTAAAGGAGCAGCATATTTGCATACTGTGGAAGTCTATAATCAGTGTTTGTATTCATAGTTTCATAGTTGGTAGGGTCGGAAGGGATCTAAGCAGATCT